AACTGGTGTAGGGGCCAATCAAAAGTAGCTGCTAGAGAAAGTAAAACCCTGACTGAAGTCATTTAGCAACAGGAGCAAATGTCTCAAGATAGTCAATGCCATACATTTGGGTGTAACCCTTATCAACTAACCAAGCCTTAAAACTCTCAACAGAGCCATCAGATTGATACTTAATGGTAAACACCCATTTACAACCAACTGGTTCCTTCCCTTCTGCCAAGTCCACAATATCTCAGGTATGGTTCTTATGCAATGCATCAAGTTCAGTCATCATAGCATCCCTCCATTCAGCTTGAGATAATGCTTCTGGTACAGACCTGGGTATCACATGGGAAGACACAGAGGCAAGAAAGGAGTAGTAGGAAGGGGAGAGAAGGCTGTAAGATAAGTGTTTGGAGATACAATGGGTTGTACACTTCTGCTTGCCCTTGCGAAGAGCAATAGGAAGGTCAAGGTTTGGGACAGTCAGAGATGGGTCAATAGAGGGCTGACCTGTTTCCTCAGGAATGATAGGAGTGGCAAGATGCTCTTCTGAAGGAGTGGAAACAACCTGCACATGTCTGAATCTCTGCCTTTGGTACCACCTTTGGAGAGCAGGAGCAGAAAGAGGAGGAGGAGCAGGGATATCAGAGGTAGGTCCAGTGGAAGAGGTGGACACCCCATGATCGGACTCACAAGGGATGGGAAGAGAAACGGCTGGAGACACAGTAAATGGCTCATCAGATTTCTCCCCCTCAGGAGGAATACTAAAGAAGGGAGTCAACTCGGCAAAGGTGATCCCGAGATACAAAGCGGGTGCGACGAACTGGATCAAAACAGCAATACCCCTTCTGTGTGGAAGCATATCCCAGAAACACACACTTATGAGCCTTAGATTCAAACTTGTGCCTTTGTTGACTATGAATATGCACATAGCAAGTACACCCAAACACACGAAGAGGAAGAGAAAAGAGATCCTCATTCAGGAAGAGAAGACTAAAAGGAGTTTTAAAGCCAAGGACCCGGGAGGGCATACGGTTGATCAGAAAGGTAGCAGTAAGAACAGCATCTCCCCAAAACTTTACGGGAACATGGGATGCAAACAAGAGGGATCTGGCAACCTCAACCACATGCCTATTCTTTCTTTCCGCCACCCCGTTTTGTTGTGGAATGTAGGAACAAGAACTTTGATGAATAACCCCAAAAGTTTCAAGATAAGTGGAGAGGGTTCTCTCAAAATACTCCTTAGCATTGTCAGAGCGGAATATTTTGATACGAGTATTAAACTGGGTGAGGATGAGTTCATGAAAATTTTCCACAATAGCTAGTACTTCATAGGAGAAAGTGATCTTTTATTGCTAATTGAATATGAATGTCTACAATGCTTTGCCAGCTCACATGATTCACAATGAAGACTCGATAAAGACACTCCTTTAAACATATCTGGGAACAGATGACTCAAAACAGAAAAAGACAAGTGACCAAACCGAAAATGACATAATAAAATTTTGTTAACAGACTCTAACACGACTGACTCTAAGGCAACTCCATGAGGTGATCCCAAAGCTTGATTCAGTGTGTCCAGCAAGTATATTCCGTTCGCCTCATGGCCACTCCCAATCATCCTCTGAGACTGTAGGTCCTAAAAAACACAATGAGTGGGAAAGAAAGTTATGCTGCAATTCATGGACTTTGTTAAGCTACTAACAGATAAGAGGTTTGTGTTAAGCTTAGGGGCATGAAGAACAGAAGATAAGAACAGGGTGTCAAAGGTCTTTATATCACATTTACCAGAGATGGGGGCAAGGGACCCATCGGCAAGGGATATTTTCTCTTTCCCAGAGAGAAGGTGATATGAGTAAAAAATGTTAGATAGACTGGTCATATGGTCTGATGCACTAGAATCGATAATCCAAGGGATTTTATGATTACCTGAAACTTAAGCATGATTTGTAGAAGCACGAGTACCTGAGTGAGCAAAAACCGATGAAGATGATGTACTGTTGGAAGGGTAAGCTGAAGAAACTATAGCTTCCAGGTGATTTAGGAGYYTCCCATACTTCTCAAAATCCAGCTTCATTGCAGCCAATTGTTCAATGGTTGATTTCTCTTCACTCTCCTTACTTCCCCCTTCAGGTACTGTAGCAGCATTAGCAGTCTTGGGTTTTCCCACCTGACTGCCCTTCTTAGGGTTATTATTGTTCTTAAACCTATCAGGGAAAAGTCCAGGATGAAGCTTCCAGCAGGTGTCCTTCGTATGCCGTGGTTTCTTGCAATATTCACACACCTGCTCTCTCTTCTCAGTAGGGCCCTTTGGTTTCATTCCCGCATGTGCAAAATGTTTTGTAGGTGGACTCTGCAACTGAACTTGCCGCCTACTCTCCTCACTACTTATCATAGCATATGCCTGTGAAAGAGTAACCTCATCCCTGGCCAAAATATTTTGTCTGATAATATCAAANCCTCACTACTTATCATAGCATATGCCTGTGAAAGAGTAACCTCATCCCTGGCCAAAATATTTTGTCTGATAATATCAAACTCAGGGTTGAGTCCAGTGAGAAACTCAAACACCCTATTTCTCTCCACCAGCTTTCTATACATTTCAGCATCCTTTTTACTCTCCCATACCACTATCTTCATAACATCAATTTCTTGCCATAGGGATTTTAGTATAGAGTAGTAGATTGCTACACTCTTCTCCCCCTGTCTCAGGTTTTTCACATCACTTTTCAATTTGTACGCTCGGGCTATATTCAGTTTCTGTGAGGTCTCAGTTACACTGTCCCATATCTCCTTAGCCGAAGACATCCAGAGATAGTGCTAGATTATATGGGGTTGCATAGAGTTAACTAACCATTCTATGACAGTGTAATTCTCTTGCATCCATTTTTCAAATTCAGGGTCTGTCTCTTCTGGTTTCACCTTACTACCTGTGAGATACCCGAGTTTTCCTCTACTACAAACATAGATTTTTTATAGACTGTGCCCAATCAAGATAGTTCGTCCCATCTAGCTTAATTGTGGTAACACCAGTCAAAACGGAATCTATTGAGGTAGGTCCAGAAACCGGCACCTGCTTGAACTCACTTCCGTATGTTTCCATTAATCAAACGGAAATCAAAGAACAGAAATTTTGACTATGTAAACTTACTTGAAGCCAAACCAGAACTTGGGTGCTTGAAAAACTAGGGTTTTACTCCGTCCAGCAGATGGAAGGAAGAGAGAAGATGCTGCCGCACCTAACAGACAAACCCCAACTCTTCCAAACCTGAACCGCCCTCCTTTAGCAGTCACAAGACACCTTCCAAGCACAGAGCGCCACACCTGAGCTTCACCTTTCCTAGTAACCTCGAAAATCTCTAGTCAACTAGGGTTTCGGGCAGTAGCACAACAGCAATACTTCTTAGCAAAATCTAGCCGGAACTAAACTCTCCAAACCCTTCTACCAACTAGGCAAGTGATTCTCTATACTATAGAGAACCTATCTCTCCATACACTCTCTTGATTTTAGAGTGTACAGGAATGAAGAAAAAAGAGGAAGAGGAACTAAACCTACTCTGATACCAAGATGTAAATCAGTCCTCTAATATTAAGTTTAAACTTAGTGATTAGCAAAATAAAACAGGTCTGAATAATTGTATAAGAGAAGAAGATGGCGAAGAGAAGAGGTAAGAGAAGAAGGAGTCCAATCATTCTGCATTCTCCTCTAACCCTATTTTATTAAGATCTAAAATTTAATGATGACAAGAATGCCCTTAAGTGGGCGGACAGCTTGGCAGTTACATAAAGAAAATAAACAAGAATAAATAACAGGCCCACTAAGTGTGGCCCATCAACATAAAATAAAAGATATTACAAGAGAGGCTGTTAGGGCCCATTCGGCCCAGTCTCTTTACAATTATTATTATGACTGCATCTTATTAATATGTGTTTTGATACATCCTATCATATACTATATATAATACTTATGCTTTGTTTTAGGGTTTTACTATTGGAGCATAAAAAATACAAGGGTTTTGAGAAGAGAAAAAGAAAGAAAGATAAAAGAAGTTTCTTATTTTTTAAATTTACTCTTCTTACTTTTAATAGAACACTTTTTTATAACATTGCATCTTTACCGATAGATTAATAAAGAATTATGTGTACAAAATACATACAGCTGGCCCATGCCACCCTTACCTCTTAAATTCATACTTACATCTGAAACCCGAGGACTGATCAGTCATGTTGCCAACTTGTTACATTATATCTCCCCAAATTGACCCCCAAAAAGATCAGGTCTATTTACCCCTTATCCAGCTCATGCATCTTCTATTGCATTAGCCATCCTTGGGAATTGAATTCCAGTTAACTCTACAATTCATTCCTGAACTCAGATATCTAATTCTAATCTCCCTCATAAATTTTGCCAACTCTACAAAAGAAGAAATTTTAGCTCCTCTCACTGGCTTATGTATTGCTAGAGACTTGGGTATTTTGCATCTAATCATTAGAGGAGATTCTGCAAATAACTATCAAGTAGCTAGCAGCTTAGCATAAAAGGAGGGTGGTCCTTGGAGACTAGCTCACTACCTGATTAAACCCAGACATTCTGAACTCTGTGGTTGCAAACCTGTATTGGATACCTTGGGAACAAAACACACTAGCAGATGGTCTAGCTAAATCTGGTGCTCATCTGGAGTGTTTATACTTTATACAGTGATAGCTCTCTGCCTGTGTATCTTTTAGTGGCTGTTTTGTTTTGGTTTCCCTTATGTACACCATCTCATGTACCTTTCCCTTTTTAATGGAGAAAAAAAACTCTAATGTCCCTCATAGAGGTCTGTTGTTTCCATTGGGTCAAGCTGTCATTCCTTAAACAACCTGTCACAACTTTGGAATCTCCCTCCACAATCAGGTTGGTGAGGCCTGGATTTCTTTCCAGTCTCATACCTTGGGAGAAGTGCCATCAACTCTGCTGTTATGGAGTTCCCAATACTAGTGAGGCCTGAGTAAAGGGCTAGGCCCCACTGGTTCTATGACACTTGCTCTTTTTCCCTTCTGAGCACCCTCTCTTAAATTTTTTAGTACAAAACTATTGCCTTCTTTAGTTGATATATTTTTTTGATGAACAGTGAGGTATTGTATTGACCAAAAGGAGAAAATAAAAGAGCCCACGTACATCGAGAGACTGTACATTAGGAATTTACAACTTATAATGCATATAATGCCAGAATTGTGAACATAAACCCCACCCAAACAGAACTAAGAAGATACAATAAACAGACTGCCATGCTCAAAAAAAGAGCTTTAATTTCTGTCACTGAAAAGGTAGTGATTGGCCAGCCAAGAGAGAAAAGTTCCTATAATCTAGTTGACCATCATCTCCTCTGAGCATGTCTTGTTTTCAAATACCCTTGCATTTTTTCACAGTTCACCCCAAAACTCATAAGGCAGCAGCAAGTACTGCATTACGCTACTTCCCCCCCTTTTACTCAAACCCTTCAAAAGCCTAATCCTCAAAAGTTCCATTACAGATGAAAGCAGCCACTAACTCCAAGAAGGCCTAGTATCCTCATCCAAATCTGGAAAGTGAAAGCACAGTGCAATAGGTGGCTTATATCCTCCAAACAGTTGCCACACAGAACACAACTACTACTTTCCACCACCATGCCCCTCTTCAGTAAATTGTCCTTCAATCCCAAGCTTAAGTCCACACAGAGAAGGCCAACTTCAACGGAACCATAGCATACCAGATTTTGAAGCTAGATGTCATTGATCCTTGACAGATTATTGTCGAGAGACCTTACAAGAAAATACCTTTAAGTTCTCCCAAAACCAGACCCTCCTGTTATCTCTAGTTCTGTTTTATCTCATCCTTGTACAGTTTTTGTAACAATTACAGTGTTACACCAATAGCTCACCTCCCTCAGGCACTCAAAAATAGTAAGAGCAATAATTTGAAAAGAGATGTAATCTTTATTCATGAGATGTGTAAGCCTCATGAAAATGGAATTTGAAGTGTATGCCTCATGCATCTAAAGTATGCCTCAAGGGCATCCATGCTTCTAGCAGACACCTCAGTGCATTTTGAGTGTGCCTCTCCTGGATGTGTGCCTCCAGGCATATGCCTCAAATGCCTTTTATAACATTTTTTATTGGTAAACAATTTTAAAACATTGCTTCCTAAAACCCTAGATTCCAAGATTTTTGGGTTTCTTTTCATGAAAGTCAACATTCATCCTTTGTGCAGAGCATACCCAAAACCTTACCAAATCCATTCACTCCTTATGATCCATGCTAAATATGCAAATAAAATTTCATAGAAAATTTCCATCTCTAAACCCATTTTCTTGAAATTGGCTATCATTCACTAGTCCAATTAGAAATTGGCAAATTGTTGATTATGTTGCACATCCCAAATAGCTCTAATAAACCTTCACAAAAGGAGTAATAAGAACCTGTTATGGGGGCACCAGGTCTGGTCTAGCTTTTTTCCTTTTTTTTCTTTCTTTTCTTAAGACGGTGAGGTATTGATTTTTATATGATTGACAAAAGTATAGAAGGCATGGCAGAACCCACATACAAAGAAGTTCTGGAGAAAAGCTTAGAATGATGCACTTGATATATTTTGGCTTTTGATGAGATGGGATGTCAGCATTTGGCTGTTGTATCTGTTCCTTCACTTTTGATTTCTCCAAAGTGAGGTCAGGGTTTTTCCTTATAAACAAATAAAATGATGATTGCTTTTGATTTGATGAATCAAAAAATATAATTAACAAACTATCCTACATCTGCAAGTCATCTTTCTTGAATCAATTGCCTAGGTTCTAAGACTGCATAGCTCCTATAAGACCTAATCATCCTACATCATTGTATTATCACTTTTAAGGATCCTGAGTTATAAAAGGAGTGTAACAGATATGAGAGTGTTGAAATGGTTAAGAGCATCAGAAGAAAAGGGTAAAGTTAGAAACAAGTGCATCCTACATGGCTACATGGGTATAGTGGAATATCCCAATAAATAGATATTACAATATCACTGCAAGCATGTCCATTATCCAATACCTATAGTAGAATGATTGCACCTTGATTGACCCTGAGACACAATCTAAGATAGATTGGTTCAACAAAACTGACTCAAATAAGCAAACTTACTTTCCCATTGCGTCTTGCATCAATGTAAGGAAGGTTATGGACAACAACAATCCTCCATAATCCAACCTTGTTGCTGCTATCTAACACACTTGAATTTCTCATGTATGCTTCTGTCCCTTCATCAACAAACATATAAAAACAAATGTTTTTCTTTGCAGCATCACTGATACTTTTCGGCTGCTGTAGGATATCATAGTTTCCTGCTCAAGAAACATCAGTTAGAAAAGGTAAACTACTAGCATGAACCCATGGATGAAATTAAATAAGGGAACTTAAGTTTGGAAGTACCAAAGATGGCTGATGCAACAACTATCCCCTGACACTGCTCCATCTCAAAAAAGTCAACATCATCAATGTCAAAGCCAGTCCCACGACCAGGTTTCTTTCCTCGAATAAATCTGATCAATAATTTGCATCAATGAGAATGAGCAAAACTAGTTGACTTTATTAAAACAGTTCCTTGTTCTTCATTACAATCCAGGTACATGTGGTACTCTGGAAGCATTTTTTTCAGTAAAGAGAAGATAAATGTGGAATAGATATCTATGCAAATGTTGAAGTCTTGAAGGAGAATGAAACATACCCACAGTGCACAACCATTGATTCTTTTATATTGAAAGAATCATTCCTCTGCTTCAGAGAAGGATATCCACCAAATTCGGAGCCTCCAAATGGCTCAGTTCTAATTGGATTTTCTTCATATACATAACTTAAATTTCTAAGTACAGGAGATGTGGATGGAGATTTCGGCATAAAGACTATTGCTTGCTCAACCGGAAGGTAACATACTGGACATGCTGAAGGAGCAACCAAGCAATAAAACTCAGCACTAGAATTGATGATGATGATGATAGATAAGTGAAGGACAACAATAAAATTAATAAACTGGTTAATTTTACAATATCACATATATGCATATATGTCATGTAAATACATTTCACATGTGATGATGTGAGTAGTAGCATTATCTGAACATCGCATTAAATATGTAATGATGTCAATAAAAATATTTATGATCTAAGCATCTAAAAAAAAATAATAGCAATTCAAACTTACGTCTTGGTCCAGTCCGTTTTTTATCAGCTGGCGGAGGTGGAAGAGTGAACTTTTCACATGGATGACCTGGGGGAAGAGCAGTCCCTCCAACTATCAAAGGAGGTGGTGGTGGTGGTGGTGGTGGTGGTGGTGGTGGCTGCATTTTATTTTGGCCACTTATTGAAATGGCATTTTGTAAAATGGAGTTCTTGTCCTTCTTGCTCTCTTGTTCTCCATGAACCAAGGAAGGTCTGGGATATTTTATTGCCATGCTATCGTTTTGTTTAATGTTTTGCGACATTCGAGTATGGTGAGATACACCTTCTGTAGTGTCTTCATCTGAAGTCAAGCCACAAATGCACAGAGGTTAGTTTATCAAATAAATCAAATGAGAAAAAAGGATGAGTAAATGACAACAATCAGTATATGAGATGCCACAGCTGAAACTTTCTAGAAAGCACAACAATTGAGCATGATTTGTGCATGTCCAAATCAACTTGGTCTAAACAGATATCAAGGAGTCAGTACCACTGAGACCCAATATTCAGGGATCTCTCCTTAATATCTGGTATACCAGAAGTATCTTAATTGGGTTATCCTAACCATCTAGTCTGTGACAACCTGGGACCAGAAAAGAAATACAGTAAACTGCCTAGATAAATGTCCATATAAGAATGGTGAAGATCATCATATCAGACCAATTCTTAGTCTATAAGATCCTACTGGTTGAACCGTAAAGTGGTGGGTCACAACCCTCTAACTGTACAATCTTCATGGATCAAAAGAGCAAAATCAGCTAAGATACAAAAATGCAATGTGAATGGCCAGATAAGGACAACAATGTAAATACAAGGAAAAAATGGATACAAGAATCAAACCTTTGCTGACCACAGATAAAACAGACATAAAAACCACACCAGAAATGACCACCAGAAGCAGCATTCCAACCCTCCTTCTGCCAGCAAATTTGCAGATCCGATGAAGAAACTTTTCCTTCTCTCTTGACCCAGACAGGAGCATCTTCGGGGGCTTGCGAACAAGGATGGGTGTAGTCTGAACCGACAGCACAACACTGTTCTGAAGTTGTTGTTGCAATGATCCATAACTCCCTGTACGTAGACCCAATGACCCTCCAGTCATTGTCCCTCCCAAGCCACAGGTTTATCTTTCATTTCCCTTCTCTTCCAGAATCCTCTCTCATTCAAAATTTCAATCCTTTTCTACACAGAACAGAATCAACTCCCGAATCACCGCCAAATAAAGATCTAACTTAACAAACTTCCACCAAAGTCCCGATGCGGACCAATTTATTGATTCCAATAAATCTCAGAATCTATCTATACTTCAAAATACAATTACAAAGCACTCCTATAAATCCAAATCATCCTTGAAATCTCTTCTAACATTGTACATGCACCCACCTCCGCTAGAATTCCAAAGCTTCCTCGGACAAAATTCAAATATAGTATGAATGTTACTAAAAGATATAAAGTTCCTCACTTTCTTCTCCAAGCCTACCAAGACCAACTTTCCCGTAACAGCATTGTAGAAAATAAATCGATACAAGCATACCAAGAACAAAACTAATCGTCCACTCGAGAAAACTAATCCGAATTCCTATTAAATCGAGCTATAACAACCAATTAACACTCCATCTCACTAGAAGCAGGATGCTTCATCAAAATTAATTTTGCAAAGCACCACTACAAATTCAAATCTGCCCAGAACTCCCAAGCCGAACCAAAAGAATTAAGTCAACTCTTATGGATCGATCCTAGCCAACAAAACAATCTTCAGTCTCACTCTAAAAAACAAAGGAGAAAAAAATTAAAGATTATCTATCTCCGCCACCGATATGTAGCAACAGCGGAAATCGAGATGAACCGTTGTTACCTCTCGGTCTTCCGTTACAATCCCAGATCAAATCGTAGGGCCGCAAATCAAGGGCTCCCGAAGGAAAACGATTCGCGCTCGATTATCTCTGCCCTGCTTTCAGCTCTGTGTGGTGCCTCGCCAAATCTGAGATCATGAAGAATTCTTTGCTCGCAGTGTGAGAAATTCATATATATTTATCGTTTTAACCTTAATTATAATTATTAAGAATTAAGTGATTTGAGCACTTGCCATTTTTTTTAATTAATAGTCAACTGTCAATGAATCACTGCGGCACACGCACAGGAAAAACATGTCTGAAAAGACAAAAATACCTCCATATTTTGTGTGTATTGACAATGGTTCTTTTGACTTTTCACATGGATTTTCCTTGTTTATCAAACTTTGGACGTGCCCAAATCAGTCTCCTAATAATGATTGTCGTTTTATTGCTATTTTTGTTTTTTTATTTATAACTTATAACAATAGAAATTGATAACAAAAAGAAAATATACAGATGGTTTCATAATGGAATGCCGCTAAAATGCGCCGGGTGCACGTTTAAGTTAGTAGGTGGGACAAGAGTCACAAGAATCAAGAGAGTAATGCTAGGCTGTTTGAGTGTTTGTTATGTTTTTTCTACTAAAAAATAATAAAGGGCTGGTTGTTATGTTATTGTTAGCAAAAGCGTGTAATCAGATTGGGTGAATGAATGCCATCATAACCGTTTGATCGTGTTTGATATCCACAGCTAACGGCTAGTATTGCTTTGGCCACTCATTTTGATAAAAAAAAACACACTTCTATCTTTGCATTAAGAAGTTATGCAGCTCTGGGATTCAACGCGCCACAGACAAGACAAGGTGGGATCAGAGCTGATTTTTGTCTTTGTAGTTTGCTTTCCATTGGCCCCACTGTGATGTAAGAGTTGCACAATCTCGTTGCTTGCCAGCGTTCCTCCCTAGCTATACCAAAAGGGGATATCTCTGTTCGCCACTTAATAGATTTCATCTGTTTCTTTGAAAATTTTTCTGGCCAGAGGAACCAATCAGAACAAGACTAAAGGTAAAGGAGGCCACAGCCCACAGGCACACAAGAGAACAATAACCAAGAAAATTAGAGACCGGATCTGCTCCTCACACCTGGTGCCTCACAGGCGCCTCACATGTACAACCTATCATACCATTGATTGAAAACATCTCCCGTACTTATTCACGAGAGATGTTTCCCATGCACGGTGGATATGCATGTGAGACGCTCATTGTGAGGAGCAGATCCCGTCTCAGAAAATCAAACCCATTTCTCAAATGCACTGTAAAACTTCTCCCGTACTTATTCCTAAAAGCTGCAATTGGCATGGTTGTTATCTGTGAATTTGGTTCTGTTTTGGCATCCAAAGGGTTCAGCTTGAGAAGAGAGGCTGAATGCTGGGCTGTTATCATGTAGATTGAGCTTAGTAGTTAGAATCCCCAGAACAAGAAACTGGAATACAAATGCACTGTAAAACTGCAATGGTGTTGTTTATTCATTTTCATTATTATTTTAACATTGGGTAAATAGTGTACTAGATTCCTAGCGACTGAAACAGAACAGCCCATTTATTTGCCACTACATTAACTCTTTGAATAGTGAATTAACTCCCATTTATGTGCACTACATTTTCAGTATTAATTTATCATTAACTCTTTGAATAGTGAATTAACTCCCTAGTCTCCCCGCTCCCAAAAAAAAAAAAAAAAAACCTATCTGAGGACTTGAACAGAATCAAACAATCCCTAACCCAGATGGAGTTAGGACTAAGTTAGCTAGCCTCACCATCAATGCTATCTAAAAAGAATATCTCGCTGATACAAGACAAAATATTTTCATTTAATTACATAATAACAAACAAAAATTAATATAAATTTGTGAAAACATTTGTGTTGGAACTTGTAGATTTTCCAATGTGGCCTTGGTGCCAATATGACATATACAATGTACCATTCATTAGAAATCAAATATTCCACACACATATATTATACATTAAATTGTATATACATTACAAAATGCCACTACCCAATCTCAAACCGGCAAGCATGAGAACGTGGGTTCAAAGTCTGAGGGTGATCACTTTGTGCGAAAAAATGCCAAAGGTTAGGACCATATATATGACTTGTTCAAAAATCTTACGTTTGGATAAGCATATGTGTTTGTAGTAAATAAAAATGTGACAAACATAATTCCTGACGTTTGGCAAAAACACTTTTAAGCCCGCAAAAGACATGGTCTAAAATTAGGGCTTTGTGCTTTAAGCTTTTGAAAACACAAATCCTGAAGCTTATCCATATTATAATCTTCTATCAATCATCATCTCCCCTCCATATGGTCAAAAGAGGTGGTTCATGCATGAATACAGAAAGGTCATTCTTTCTACTCTCTTTTCCACTACCAATCATAACCACCATTCCACCCCTTGAAGAAGGATGAAGGTCATAGACCAATATTGTCAATAAATAGTGCAAAAACATTGCAATGTATTATTATATCATGAAAACATAGATGACTGAAACAGTCCTGGCCTGGGATTTCATAAAGCTCCATTTCTTTCTTTGTAAGAGGGCTGAAAACTTTTTCAATATTTGGAATTTTAGTTATACTTGATGGCCCTTAATGGTCAAAACTTTATTTTGTACTTGTTTTACACGGAAGCAAAGACAACCTGAAGAGGAAAAAGATAGGAAGATGAGGTACTAACCATGTTTAGAAGTCCCCCTACGCAAGTTTTAGGGTCTGTTTGATTTGTAGTTGGAATAAGAATCGGTATGATCCATACCTATAGTATGTTTGGTTCAGACAGGAATGGAAATAGAAATAGGAGTGAATAGGAATGGGATTCTGACTCCGCACAATCAAACAGTTGGAATTGGAATGGTCCATTCCAATTTCGATTCCAAACCGATATTCCCATGAATCAAATGAGGCCTTACTTTGAAAATAAGAAGAAAGGAAACATATGCATAGTGTAGTCAGTTTAATAATGAAGGTATTAGCTAACCTGTTAGAAAAGTCTTTGGCTGGTTGCTTCATACGTTTTTCCAATTCCTCAAACGCATAATCCCCCATCCCTTCGATAGGCAGGAATCTATACGAAGTTGGGAATGACAATGGCCTGCCGGAAGATAAAAATGACCTTTCATCCCTCATTTCTGATGGAGACAGACAGGTTGTCGATTGGGGATCAAATCCCCAAAATTATTTTAAATATATTTTGATATAAATAATATTACATGTATATGCTTAATCATGGTCAGGTCAGGGCAGATAATTCACTCTCATCTCCCATCCTTAGTCGAATATCACTATTAATTCCCGTCCCTGCTCCCTATACCCCAAGGGGCTCGCGTTCTGTGCACCCGTGGGTGCACTGGACGAGTGCACTCGCGAATGGCGTGTCGATATGTCGACTAGGCTTATGTTAACACTCAAACGTGCGTTAATACAGTCTACTCCGGTTCATGGGGAAACGAACCGGTTCCCACGAACTGGTTGAGTGTTCAATCAAAAACCCCTTTTTTTCTTTCCAGTTCCTTCGTCCCTTTTTCTCCACCGAACCCTATGCCATATAATAGAGAAACCCCTGTTCATCGGCGGCAACAGAGTGTCGGCAGCGAACCAACGGCGACGTATCACTCTTTGCTTCTTCAGCTCTCTCTTCTTCTTCTTCTTCGGTGTAACTCCGAGCTGAAGGACGAACAGGTAAAACCGAACCCAACAATCCTTATTATCTCATAAATCAAATCTGCTCCAGCAATACTAACATTGTAAATGAATCTGCATTGACATGTACGTAATTCCGATTAAATTGCTGCAACACACTTCTTAGACAAGACATCATCAGTAACGACAACACCACTCCAACAGGTCAATGGAGATAGGAATTTAAGATAGTTAGATAAAGGTAAGAAAAAGAGTTGTAGTTACAGTTAAAGATTGAAGATGAAGGGGTGGCTGTTGTTCCCGCCAATGGTTGTCCAAGTAGGTGGTTGCTGTGGTCTCCGATGGCTGTCAGGTGGGTTATTTTTGTTGAAAACATAACATAATAACCACTTGTAAGAAGAAAAGAAGAGTGTTGGAAGAAGATTCAAATTTACAAGAATTTCCTCTCTTGTTTTTTGTCATTTCCTCCCTTAAATGATTCCTTGTCCCATATTGCTTGGGAAAGGAGTAGAAGTGGAGTATATTTGTAGTTTTGCTCCCTCTATGGATAGGGACCTATAGGAGGAGAGGACTAGCTATTCCATGATTTTCACTAAATCATTTTGTTTTATCCGAATTACACCTTTTCAATTTTAAAATGGGTCTTTCAAATTCAAATTTAATTTTAAAATAAATTATTTTCTTTTTCCGCGTTTCTTCTTCTTCCTTGTGCCTCTTCAAACAGGTCCACTGTTCTGGAGAGGCTCCTGGAGAAGAAGAAGAAGAGTGTTGGAGGGAGATCCAATTTTACAAGAATCTCTCTCCTCTCTTGTTTTTTGTCCTTTACTCCCTTAAATGATTCATTGCCCCACATTGCTTGGGAAAGGAGTGGAAGTGGAGTATATTTGTAGTTTTGCTCCCTCAATGGGTAGAGACCCATAGGAGGAGAAAACTATAGATATTCCATGCATGTTGGGGGGACTCACAGTCACCGAGATAGTTTTGCTCTCTCTCTCTCTCTCTCATACGCGAACTGACACACTTTTCACTGTTAAAATCGCAGCTCACAGTCACCACGAACACAATCACCGTCGGGCTTCGAGCTTCGGGCTTTTTATCAGGGCCGGGCTCGGGCCCAAGTTGTAGGCCCGTTGGTCGGGCCTAACAAAATTCTATTCATGAAAAGTAAAAGCCCGGCCCATGAACGGGTCTATATGAAAGGACACATCTGTGTCCGTTCGGGTTTGAGACCAATCTATAAAAGGGTGATGGTCGACCCAGTCTACACACACACACACATCATTTTTCGACATTCTTGTTTTCTCTAAGAAATCTAAGCATCAATCTTTTGTAGTTCACAAAGGTCTGGTAAGCAAGTGCACGCCTACTAGTGGCATGTGAGTTGTTTTATCTTGGTGACCGGTTTGCGGTCACTCGGCTACACCATAGGGGCAAATACGGTTTTAAGGAGAGTGACCAAGTGGCAT